TGAGTACATAAAATATGTTAATAAGACTAGAGCACATTATTCCCAGTGTAATGCGTTAAGCCTTGAATGCACCACCTGAAGTCATGCTTTATGGAGGTGGCCATCTGGGAAATCACCTCCCTGTCCAGCTGGAAAAAACCTGGGAGGGAAACATGAGTAGAAAACCCTCTATCCTCCCTCATTAACTACTGTCAAACCCCCCTGAGCCATGTACATAAACTCTGGTCCTTTTCAGGCAGTTGTTCACTACTTGGCAGCAGAGAAATGGCGGTACATCGGGTTTGTGTCTTTCTAAACTGGGAATTGGGCCTTCCTTTGACTCTCACCTGTGGGGTAAATGTAAAAAAAAAAGAAGAGTGTATGTGTGGCCACAAATCAAACTGTAACCCATGAGTGCTTTTGTGTGGAAAGCCGGCTGTTCTACAATCTCCGCCACATGAATTCATGAGGGGTTAGGGTGATTGATCGCAAGGTAAGTTGTAGGATATCAGGGGAGCTAGAAAATAACACACACACACACAGTAATATGTTTGGTCAGTAGTGTGTCGCTGCAGTTTATCAATGCACTAAGCCAATTTTAACACATCGGTGGTTATTTATTAGACTTCAGCAACTCAGTATTTATATGCAGCTCCACTGTACCACCCTCACATATTCTCAAACGTGTCCACAGTGGACCTCTGAGACTCGTCTCTGTCCCCAGGGGCCCCGGAATCAGAGGAGCAGAGAGCCCTGTCACATTGTGACCAACTCATTGGCCTCAAGCTGTCCAAACACACACACACTCACAAATACAGAAACACATTCTGCAGGACTTGCAGTTTTAGAGAGCGCTATGTTGCCATGGTGACAGGGAGTGATGTCACAGCACTAAACCCAAAAAAGGGGGCAGCCGGAACTTATTTTCAAAGACGTCAATGGGCACCACTGGCTCCCGTCAATGTAAGAAAATGCAAAGTGTCGCATATTCTCACGTCGGCTCACATTGGGCTCTGTCTGCCGCGCCGCTGCTGGATCCCGCTGAAAGCTTTTCAGCAATCAGTCCCTCCACTCCCTCCACATCATTCCAGCCGAGGCCCTGGAGATGTGCTGCCCTGCTGAGGCCAAACAAGGGGGTCCAGTCCCAATTTAGCCACACAAAGTACAAAAACAGACAGTGTTTTCAGGCTGCAACGACAACGAGAAGCATCCCATTGAGGAACTGAGGCGGGATCACAGCATGGGGTCAGCCGTGGGCGGAAAGAGAAACACTCGGCTATGCACATGCAGAGACATAAAACCACCTAAGCGCGCGCTGCACAAGCATACGCACACAGCGGGCATGCCCTGCAGGCATCGGTGGCATTTGGAGGGCTTTGGCACAATGAGAGCACAGTGAAGACCAGGCTATGTGCCGCACTGAGCCTCTCGGTGGTCAGTCTCACTCACAAAGGCACAGTCTTTACTTGGTAGCAAAAAAAGAGATGAGCAACTGTCTCTGTGCATGTATGTCTGTTTGTGTTTCCGTGATGCTGGGGAGAGAGACAATGGCAGCTGATGGCCAGTATGTGTGCTGCCAAACCCAATAGGCAGAAAACTGTAATTGCCTGTCTAATCTGGGCTGTGGAGAAGCCAGGTGTAATGATGGCAACTCAGTGAATACACCTCTCCTCCACCCTCTAATGGATGCTTGCTGAACCCCCCCTTTTCCTGACTCTGTCATTTCGCTGCTTCACTGTTTGGACCCAAGGATACGTTCGGAAAAGTGGAGAAAATATGCTGTGGAAAGAAATATGTCAGCTCTTGACACCTGGCTGCCTCAGTCCAGACATTGTGCGAATACCAATCAGCGAGTGTGAGAGTGAAATGAGTGTCTGCTGTCATTGTCTCTGCGGAAGATCATTTTTGCTGCTCGGTTGGTGCCAAACATCATTGCCAAGAGTTATCTGTGAATGACCAGTGTTCATTATCCCAGGCTAATGACACCAACATGTTTATGTATGTTTGTGTAAAGCCAAACAGCATTACAGGCCTATTCATCTGCAAAAGTATTTCCCATGTACAGTAGAATTGGTTTAACGCTGCTATGAACAATATCTAAACATTAACAGTGGATAAAATCGCTACATGTGAATGAAAGAGTGTCCATCATGAAGACTTTATCACCAGTTATTATCACCCGAATACAGTTCCTTTCAGCTTTAGTAGAAGCAAAAGATCTTATTCAGAATTACTATTGGAGTTGGTGAAGACCAAAACAGAGCTAAAAGGGGAATTCATTTTGAACTTATATTCTTTATTTAGCCAGAAACGCGCCTCCAAATGAATGCTAACTGGTCCGTATCTTCATTAAAACATCTCTGTATGTTAACACATTTGCTATTTTAACTAATAGGGTGCTGTTGTTGTGCTTACAGATAATTTCCATTGCCCTAAGGAAAGTACAAATAATTCAATAAGAGACGATTATGTGAATTGTTGCCTTATTCAGAGACTTTTCCAAATGTCTAAATAAATTCTTATTCTGAGTTTCTATATTTTGATCTTGAGTCAGGATGGTTTAAGCACAACCTTAGAATGTTTTTTTGTATTAGTTCATAATCTACAATTCACATCTAGTTTCGCATACGGCTGTTCCAGCATTTTGAGTAAATACTTTTTGAGACACCTTGAGGACAAAAGAGATAACTGGCGGTTGCAAAGTTGAAGTAGCAGTTATATTGTTACCTCTCACCGAGACAGATATGGGGTTAAAAGAACTATAGCTGGACTCTGTTTCGTTTTCTGGAAATTGCTAGCGATTTCATCACTATAAAACTTCATCGTTGCTTGACTTCATTCCAGCTGCAGCATTGTTTGGGCAGAATGGCAGTGCTTCGAAAATCATCAGGGAAGCATGACACGGTTTCATCATTGCTGGGAAGATTTTTACTCCTCGAATTGCTCGCTGTAAACTATTCTTGGGAGCACTTCTACAAAATTGACTTGGAGTCATCCGATGGTTTTGACTTGCACAAAGACACATGAACACAGACATATACACACACACACACACACACACACACACACACACACACACACACACACACACACACACACACACACACAGAGAGAGCGCACTCTATGAGCCAGTGTACTTTGCCAGGTTTGCTAATTAAACAAATGTACTTGGCTAGCTTTCTTGATGAGGAACCAGACTGCCTAGTCCAACCTGCTAGTTTTCCTGCTTTCCAAAGTGAGAATACATAGATATACACACACACACACACACACACATTCACTGAAACCTGCAAATGTGTCCAGCAATTTGCCACTACAGTACGCACTTATTTTATTATTCATTGTTCCTTTCAGCCAAGGCTCTTAGTGTCCGTTAAACAAAGGCAAACTATTTATTGGGTCATATTTTCTAACACGGACAGCAATAACGCTCTATCACCTTTGGGAGTGTTCTGTTGTAAACTCTGAAATATATGATGCTGTGATGAGATTGAGTAGCTGCACGAGGAGGCGGGCGGAGAAGTAAAAAGCTGCAGAGAGCGATGGTAATGATGGTGATAAGAATTATGAATGTTGTAATCACGATGGCAAAATCCATCCTGGAAATAGTACTGGGATGAGAAAGCACTGTGATGATGAACATTATGATGGAAATGTGACAAGGATGATGATAATACTGTACTGCTGATGAGAATGGCAATGTTGACGATGATGTTGATGGCATCTTGGAAGGGCAATGCCTTGCTTAGGCAGATGTAGAGTACATAAAGTGTGTTTGTAGTTGGATACTTTAAGCTTCACATCAGCGATTTATAGCCTCTTTTCTACTGCAAGAACTTTTCCAAGGGACTAGGAACTATTGCAGAAACCTTACTTTGAAATCGATCGGAGGAATCTGAGAATACATTAAGTTCTTCTGCCGTAGTCCCTGGTGACAAAACACTGCCTGCTGTGAGTCTGGCCCAGGAACTTTAGGGTGGGAGTTCACAGTGCTGAACCTCACGGATTGGTCAAACATAATAAGACTTCTGCAAACCTTCATTCCTACCGTAAGCAAGTACAAGGTGCCACTAGGATCAATACTAGGCCAAGGGGTCATTTATCGATGTGAAAGACAAACTTATATTGCCATGTTTACCAACTAATCCAAAAAAAGGCAAGAGAGAGCTGAGAGCGCAGATGAAACAAGTAAAGATAGGAAGAAAATCAAAGGAGTTGAAACGGGTGGCAGTTATCTTAGCTTCTCATACTGGACTGGAAGCAGGGAGAGACTGTCTCTGTTGAAAGTGAAGCATATAATCAACAGTTTTGATTTATAATCTTGGCCACAGTCAGAGACTACCTGGAGTTTTTGGTCACCGTGAGGTTGCCAGAAAACCATGGGGGAGACTGCAGAAAATGTGTGTGACTGTGGCCAAAATTACTGATTAAACCAAGGACAAATAACATACTTTCCTAAGATTTTCTTTTAAGTCCTGTCAATTAATCCATCCCTCTTAAAGTCCCACATTTCAGCTATAGTTTCTTCTTATTTGTATAGTTTCTATACAGTTCTTCAGCTAGAGTGGAAAAGCAAACAAGGGCTCACAGTTCCTGAGTTCCTAATATCTATAAATGATTGGTCCAAAAAAGAGCATTTGTTTTTCATTTTCTTTGACCATCATGGTCACAAAGTGTACTTGCTTGTCCGCTCTTCATTGCATTGTTCATTGTTTGCCATTGCTTGATTTGCATTGAACTTCCTCACTGCTGCCCCCCATGATGGTTTTACTTCTGGTACATGGTCAGATCGTTCAGTTCCAGCCATTAGCCATTACCGCTGCTAATATCTGCATGGTCCTTCCATATAAGCTGTGTATGTTGCTGATATTCATTGCCATTGCAACTTGTTGGATGCTCATTCGCTTCCCCCCTCCATGCCCTCCACACGACCCCTCCCCCAGTCGACGATTTCCTCTTACCCCGCCTGCTGACTTTCTAGAGCCCCATATCAGTCCCTCCTCTGTTTTTCTCTTTCTTAGTTCCCCCCAACCTGACAGTCCCTCGGGGCAAGTCCCCCCTGGTGACCCGCGAGGGTGACACAGTGGAGCTGGAGTGCCTTGTTTCAGGAAAGCCCAAACCCATCATCTTGTGGTCGAGAGCCGACAAGGAGGTGCCAATGCCGGACGGCAGCATGCAGATGGAGAGCTATGACGGCGTGCTGCGGATTGTCAATGTTTCCAGGGAGATGACGGGCTCGTACCGCTGCCAGACCAGCCAGTATAACGGGTTCAACGTGAAGCCCCGGGAGGCCGAGGTGGAGCTGATCGTACAATGTGAGTAAATGAAACTGTATGTGTAGTGTATGTGATTATCTAGGTGCGTCGAATGTTTCTCTGATGTATTTTCTGTGTTCGCAGTGTAATTAATCCTGGTCCAGTGTGACCAAAACTGAACATGCCTACATTTCTCTCCTTCCACGCCCATCCAATTTTCTTCTGAAGGCTGTACAATTAGTCCAGTCCCCTGGTGTCCTCAGCCGGGTCTGAGAGGAAACAGCTCTGACTCCACCTCTTACATTAATGGGGGGGGACTTTATCTGCTGACTGTGAACTGTGGCGAACTATTATTAACTGAGGTCAAAAGCCCTAGTTACAGATGTCCACACTTATTAGGGTCTTTGCATGTTTGTGTGTGTGTGTGGTGTGTGTGTCTCTTTTGATGCTCAAGTTGGAGAAGAACCAAAGAGTGTGTGCGATATCCCCGGGGCCTTAGACCCCCCACTACTGTCGCTCATTCTGAAACCTCTTCCTTTTCTTAAAATGTCACATTCAAAGATGGCTTAACGGCTAATTAGCGAGTGGCTAATTTATTCCCACTACTATTCATTCTCTATTCATTTATGGAGATTTGAATTGGAATATTTCGAATGAACATCAGGGATTCAAAGCGTTTTCACTCATTCAAGAGCTTGGGATGTTTCTCTCCGCCGGAAAAAACGAACAGAAGAAGGATAGGAAGGAAATTAAAGCGATCTATGTAGGGTGCTACCAATCACTGGCAAGTGATTATAGGAAACAGAAAAAGTCTCATAGCCACAGTTTCATTGTTTTGCTCATGGCCTACTTAGTTAATCCGTACATTCTTCCTTCTGAACTAACCGTAATCTAGAAAGAACCTGTGCAACAGTGTGTCCGTTTTAAACTACTCTGACATGCGTAGAAATTAACAAGCTCTATGCTGACGACCATGTTTTAAATCTCCGCCCCCAGTGGACTTGCCAAACGTCGGAATGCATAAAATATTTCAACAGATTTTGAAGTGTGAACAATAAAACTGAATTTTGGCCGCAGCTCAAACTAGGTTTTGATTCAAGATGAACTCGACACACCCACGACCAATATTTTGATTGAAGAAGAACAAGAGCGGCCCCCATGCTGTTCTTTCTGGCGAGGATTAGCCCATGACTGCCTTAATTTTTTACAACACTTTTTATGTTACTCTTTGCTATGATGTTCACGTTTCAGCTTAGTTGTAACCCACTGGGCTGCGTTAAGAGTATTAATGAAGTTTTGATGTGCTTTGAAGAAGACTGTGTTACATTTTTGGCCGAATTGATTATGATTATGCAGCAGTGACAGCTCATATCAAAGGTTAGTGGTTTGCTACGCACCAGTACTGACTCCAAAAGTAAACAAAGGCTCTGGACTTTTTGGATGGCCTTCATTAATTAGAAACACATTGTTGTGTAGATTAAAAAGAGATTAGTGTCAATGGCTTTTTTAAATGTAAAAAATGCTGCTGTATGTTCACACTGAATCCTTGTTTCTTTAAACATTAGTCAAAATAAAGGAACTAACACACATCCACATACTAACCCATGCCTCAGTTATAAATGTAGTAAAAGAATGGATGATGCTGCCCTCCCCTCTGCCCCCTCTCAGCAGTGAGAGCAGTTCATGCCACAGGCAGCAATAGGTCACAGTGATTTGCCTACCGTTTGGAAACCAGCAGGGGGCACGTACTGTATCATTTTTTTCTCAAGGCAGCACAATTAGAGCAGTGAAAAGCAAATTAGCACTAACTGTCCAGAAGCTTTTACAGCGACAATTACTCAGCATGTATTAAAGCAAAAAAGTATTTCTTTTTGTTCTCCCTGCATCCGCAGATGCTTTACTTTCAAAGCTCCCTTTGCAAATCACTGACAAAAAAAGATGATACTTACAGCCCAAAATAAAAATAATTCTTCCAATTGAGTGAAGGAGAATTCTCATAAAACATAAGGAGCATATAAAATGTCCTCAAGCCTTAATGAACAAATATAATTATTACATTTATACAGTATCTAGGACTATTAAGTGGAAAAAGCAATATGTAATAAGTACGATGCTAGGCATGAGACATAAATATTGAATTTATTGTTTATCTTTTGTAAGACGTCATATTAAATCCAAAAATGAACCCCCAATTTCCTAAACCCTTATGGCGTTCCAGCACCATCTGCCGCCATTTTAGCCAGTGTGCCCATGTTTCACCCGGCATGTGACCAAAGACTCTCTCTTTGCTATCTTTAGGCATTGAATCTATTTTTTTTCCCCACACTTTGCACCTGTGAAGTGTAAAATTCAATACAAGCATGCTCTTATTTTTTAAACATGGCATAAAAATAATATTTGATTATGCATTTAAATTGATATTGACCTTTTTAAATCAACTTTATTGATCTAATGTCGCCCACCCACTTTATTTTATTTGTCTTATTTCCATTTTTGGCTCTCAATGCTCTTAGCTATCGATGCCAATAATAGATACAAGTCAATCGTGTCAGTCCTGATCGGTTCACACAGACCTTTTTTTGATACATGTTTTGAAGTTGGGAATACACATCTACATCTTTTAGGAGATATGTTGTGACATCACCACATCCACCTTAGATATTGTGATTAAGAGACTATCGTTGGCTCAAATTTACTTTGTGTGTTAACTAGTTAAAGGGGCCCTAATATGCTTATTTTCAGGTTTCATAATTGTATTTTTAGCCTCTACTCTGCCTCTTTTTACCCTCTGTCTGAAACCAGAGCCCAGTCTGCTCTCATATTTTAGCTGGCCGGCTCTGTTGTGATTAGTCAACGGCTTAGAAATGTCCTGCCCCTTAGCCTATCACATACATTGTGTTGGAATGCTAACCAATAGGAGCGTGAGTGTTGTCACAATGGAGGCGTTTCAGGCAAGGTGGAGGGGAGTGTGTGGGAGAGAAATCCCCTCTGGAGGGAACTTTAGGAGTTGTGCCTTTGCAGACCATTTACATGCACAAAAACCTATAACACACTACAGGAAAGGGAAAACCCCCAAAAGCATAATAGGGCCCCTTTAAAATTAGCTCAGCTAGATAACTATGTTTTGCACTGGCTGCTTATATGGTGACATTTTTCAACAGCTGTTTGTTACATGCAACTGTGCACCTTTTTTATAAGGGAACTATTTTAGGAAGAGTATCTTACTAAAAAACCCAAACACATTCTGACAAGTCACTGTGACTTTTATAAGAGTAAAATGACCAGCTGATCCCAGCGCTGTGTGGGAGGTAAATCCTAGCATCACTAGTGTCTCATATTCTTCCAACTCTGGCAGACCTTCATGCTGTACAATATATTATAAAACTGCTCAGGTAATGTAGGTGAAAGGTGCACACTGCAACACATTTCCACCTTAGGTGTAGAAAGGTATTTAAAAGGCAAAAACGACAAATGGTCAAGTGAAAAATCTGTCTAAATATCTGTTTTCCTCCAAAGTCTCCTCTGAAGGAGAAGACATCCAATGGCATTCTGCTAATATTCAATATTCATGAAATACAGATTCAAAGAATTAAAGAAGCTGTGCTGTATTAAATTAAACTAGTATATTCCCACACAAAGTATAGTTACATTGTTTATAAAGGAGCTGCAATCAGTACTTGTTTAGCGAAGAAATGTCAACAAAATCGATAAATATTGGAAATATGACGGAGCCTTGGTGCAACTGGGATGCAACTCATCCACATCACGGACATCTGGGTATAGGAACACGAGGAGAGGAGGAGGTTAGTCAATACGTCCCTCCTCAGAGATCATAAGCAACAAAAAGAAGAGAACACAGATGAGATGTTATCGAAATAAGAATAACAAGAACGAATAAAATAAATCAGACAGTACATTGAATCACAAACTGCCCCATTGTCTGGTATCACAGAGTGAATGAAAGAGCAGAGGAGGAAAAGGACCTTCAGACTATAAACCCAGGTGGCCCTCACCGGCTACTGAATGTACAATGAATGCAAAATAATTCAAAGATCCAAGTTTTATATTCATCACATACTTTCATGGCCTAGATCAATCCAAAGGGACATGGTGAATGCTTAGAAACAAACCTTTAGCTGTTTTTCCCAGAAGCAAAGGCGTCACTCCCACAAAGGTGCATGACCCTGTGTTAGAGTGGAGGTCAATCACAAGCTCTATAGCAAGATGTTCCATCTCTGTAACCCAAGCAGTGAAGGTCACCTCCTCTCACACGCTGCTGCTGCTGCCCTCCCTGTCTCAGTGACAGTGGACAGAGGTCACTTATGGCGCATTTCCACTGCAGGGCCTCGCACGGCTTAGTACGGTATAGTTAGGCCTTGGTAGGCCAGGCTCACTTCATGCTGCGTTTCCATTACAGTTTAGGAACTGGGGTAGTAACTATAGTAACGCAGTGTAGGCGGAGCCGTGACGTCATCTTCAATGCGAAACACAAAACCAACATCAGCCGTTAGCTGTTAGCACTCAGAGCTCACAGCTCCTCATATATGTTCAGAAACTAGACAAAAGTTAAACAAGTACAAACCACAGACTGTCTGTGTCATGGCGAATACAGTCGCTGCTTTATTCATGTCTGTATAGGCCGTTGTTGTGAGTGTGGACGGTCGGAGCATATACAACGTTAGCTTAGCCGATCTTCATTCAGAAAACACGCATTTTAAAAGGTTTCTCGCCTGCCGTCTTGTCAAAGCATTAATTCATGGTTTTTACTAACCGGTATCAGTATGTTGTTACTTCGGCATCATTTTGAAACGTGTATTACAATTAAATCACGGTAAAATATGTTCATTTTGTTGTAGTTGCCAGCGATTCTCTCTCTAGTTTAGCATACTCAGCCCGGTTGTTGGCCCGGAAAGAACCTCGATTTTGGAGAGCCAGAAAAACTGTGAAAAAGTACCCGCTAGCCGGAACTACGCCTAGTGGAAACGCATCCAAAAACGGCGCTGTAGTGGAAATGCGCCATTAGACATACTGACTGTTGCTAGTGACACTTAAATGAAGAA